TTGCACTCTTATTCAACACAAAGAAGAGTTTAAATATCTTAGTCCCTATATTTTTAAATTTTATAAAAACTAACTTATCCAAAGGCAATTAAAATAACTGATTGCTAACAGATTCAATTCAGACTCAATAGTTTATTATATTCTCACCACATACAACATACATTTAATGATACATATATATATAAATATACAGTAAACATATAAAAAAAAACAAGTAAAATATATGTATGTGTCTTTCTTAAAAGAATTATGAGAGACTATTAAAATACATATCTATACCAATTTATATATAAAATACTACAAAGAGCTATTAATGATATAAAAAACTGTTTCTCCTTGTTAAAATGTTATTGTAGGTTTTGACAACAATATTACAAAAATCGATATTTTTAAAAAGATATATATTTTTTCTTCATCAGACAAATTTAAAAACATATCATAATAACAGCAGTGCAATTTTTTTTTTTTATAAAAAGAAGAAATATTGGTATTTTCAAACAATGAAACCATTGAAAAAAAGAAATTATTGCATTATTATTCAACACAAACAAAAGTTTAAGTATCTTTATCCTTACTTATCTAAAGGCATTAATAATGGCTGTTTGTAAATGACGTTGCATTATTTCTGATATAATTTTTAGTATCTTTGCCCTGAAATTCAGCATATTTCATGAAAAACAACCAATCTTAAAGTACAAAAAGTACTGAAATCAAATGGCGGTTCATAATCTCTATTAAAATAAAGTCATTTCATTCGTATTCAACACAGACAAAAGTTTAAGTAATTTTCTCCTTATATTATTGAAATTTTTACAAAAAAAAGAGGAAATATTGTTAATTTAAAACAATGCGAACAACATTTAAGTTTATTTTTTTTCTGATATTCATTTAATTTTATGAAAAATAACCAATCCTGATTTGAAAATAGTCCTAAAATCCAATTGCGGTTCATAATTTCTATTAAAATAAAGAAATGATTTTATTCTTATTCAACACAAATAAATTTTTAACTATTTTCATCCTTATATATATTATTATAATTTTATCCAAAAAAATAACGGATTCTACAGGTCATCGATCATCGATCATTCATCGATCAGTCAAACATCCGTCACCGATCATTCACCGATAAGTCAAGTTCCGGTCAAACTGTAGTGCCTAAGGTTGCAAGCACTGTATATAGTCATATCACAAAAAGTAACAGATCGAGTTTGAGATTCGATAATATTGAGCGATATGTGCGGACGTTTTGTGATTATTGAACATAACAAATATTGTTTATATATATATATATGTTGTCCTTTTTCCTTTTCTGAAGTTTCTATATATCTATTAAGTATATTATTTGGTTTTCCTAATCATATCATACGGAGTTACACATCGAGTTTGAATTTCGTTTCGGTTGATTCGATTTTGCAGGATTAGTAGTGTCTGGACATTACAGAAATAAAACCGTGCTGCTACAGAGGTTGATTTAGCTCTGCAATTGTTGGATATAACCGTATATTTACGTCTCTCTACGATTTATTCCTTTTGATTCTCCCTTTAAAACCCTTCAGCCTTTTTTCACCTTACGGCTTTAGTAATGAGCAACACCCGTAAGGCAAAGTTATCTACACTTGAAACGGGATATTATAATATAAAATATTTTATTTAAAAGCAACAAACTACGTTCAGATAATTACATTTTAATATACGAAAAGCATACGACAGACAGCAACAATACAATCATCATAGTTTAAAATTGTGTACGCCGACGCGCGTTTCGTCTACAAAAGACTCATCAGTGACGCTCAAAAAAAAATTGTTAGAAAGGACAAATAAAGTACGAGGTTGAAGAGCATTGAGGACCCAGAATAGCGAAAGGTTTTGTCAAAGTAAGGTAATCTATTACTGGCCATGGGGTAGAAAATCCTAGGTATTTCAAAAAATTCAACATTAGAACAAACATATTTATAATTATGAAATGACAACTACTGGATAAAAGGTTTCTTTTTTATGGTTTAGGTTTTCACAAGATTGAAAAATGTAAAACGAACAAAATTGCATCGCTTTCAAATCGTGTCAATTATCATTTGATAGGAAGACTTTACTTTCCCAAATATTTTGTTCATTACAAGCTGTTTATTAACTTTTGAATACGAATGGTAAACATGTAATAATTTTATTTCTTTCCGATATTCGGATGTGGTCGTTTAAGGGCAAACTTTCATTTGTAAATTATATAACAATGACTTTACAACTATATTTCTGCACTCGATCGACCGGACTTGGTCACATTTAATCATCGCGAAAATGTATAGAACATTGACAGGACTAACAATGTTACTCTAATAATAGTTCTTTGTTTTTGCAATCACGAATGGCTTTTATTTTATTCCCCTCTTATAAATGTTGGTTTCGACGGCCGATAACCCACACTATGAACATAAGGATATCATAATAATACACATTAGAAGTAAATATTTAATTATTGAACATTATAGAGAAGTTTTCATTCATGAAATACAACTCGCAAATGGTCCATGTGGTCGGGAGAGGACAAATTACTGATTTTGTATATTGCAGGGATTCTATTCATGACTAACATTCAAATGACAACTAATTAAATAAAACTTTCAAATAAAAGGGTTATCACTATTAAGAAAAATTGTTAGGAATGCAATGTCAAGGAATCTTTAATAAGGAAAATAATCAGGAAAACACAAATCAGGAAAATTATCATGAAAACAACTAACAAATGACAAAGATTACCATCTGCATGGATACAAATGAAAAATAGAAAATAGCCCTACACTGCAATAAATAAAAAATTTACAGCGAAATCTTGTCGTAAAATTGTGTACCAATTATGTTTGACATTATACTAGTACGTAAAGAATTTTATCTTTAATGTTCATGTTTTTATTTGTGTGATTTCTTCATTTAAAGAATTGTTTGCCTATCTTGTCTGCATTTTACTCTTCATGTTTATATACTTTTAATATAAAAAAAGAAGATCAAGTACGGTTGCAAATAGAACAACTCTTCATTAGAGACTACATGACAAAGAAGTTTGAACACGTATTTCCTCCTAAAAATTGCACATTTATTTATATAATTATGTATTTTTTGCCAGAGAATTGTCATGTGCTGGTGGCGTACGTAGCTCTATAAGACACAACGACCAACTTGTTACTTTTGCATTTTCACCTACTATGGAAAGAAATACAAGCGATATCAAAATGTATAAAGTAAAATAACAAAAATACAGAACTGCTAGGATAATTCAAAACGGAATGTCCCTTATCAAATGACAAAATTAAAAGCTCAAACACATTAAACGAATTGAAAACAATTGGCATATTTCTGACTTGGTACAAGCCTTTCCTTATGTAGAAAATGGTGGATTAAACTGGTTGTATAGCTAGCTAAACATCTTACTTGTATGACAGTCGCATAAAGTTCCATTATATTGACAACAATGTGTGAGCAAAACAAACAGGCATAATAGGTAAAAAGGTCAAGTCTGAGTAGCAGCTGCAAGCTCTTGAATACCGAATTGGTTGGGACATGTATATCCCATATGCAGATGAAGTTGGTATAGTGTTACTAAGGTGGGGGAAATTGATAATATCAAAACTAAAATCGTCTCGTTTGTCATAGATTTTGGTACTGAGATGACCGCTTATGTCAAATTCGAGTTATAAGTCTTAAAATGAGGCGGAGGAAGTCGTGTCTGTTGTTTCTTTGATTTTTAGTTCTGGAGGATATATTAATGAAACCCAATCAGAAAAGTTTGGATTGTTAATGGAAAGAACATCAGCAATATATCTGAATGTGAAATTAAATGATCTGGCTTCTTTGATCTTCTTGTTTTTGACAAGTGTCTGAAGAAACTCCGACTCATATGAAAATAAGAAGAGATCGGCTAAGAGAGGTGCACAATTCGTTCCCATAGGAATGTCGACAATTTGTTGAAACAGTCTACCTCCAAATTCAACAAATATGTTGTCCATTAGAAATTCCAGCATACTGATCACGTGTTCCTCTGTGAGGCATATTTTACCTCTTTGTTCACTATTAAAAAATATGCTTTATGGTATCCCAAAATAATTAATTTATAGCGTATGCTACCATTTTTATATTGAAAAGCATTGTGAATTATTTCTTTTACACGATTTTTCAATTTCACATGGGGAATTGTGGTATACAGGGTTGAAAAATCAAAAGTTTTGATAGAATTAATTTCAGAGAAAGATCGAGATTTAAAATTATCCAGAAGTTCTTTAGAATTTTTTAAAATCCACATATGGTTAATACCACTACGCGAGTAAACAGTTTCACAGTATTTCTAAAGACCGTTTTTCACTGCGGACATAATGTTTGTCAATCTGATAAGCAATTCCTTTGTAGAACATGCAGATGAGCCGGCAATGTACCGTTGTTTGTATGAAATGTTTGAAGCTTAGGTATCCAATACAAACAAGGTAAGTCCTCAGATTTGCTGTTCAATGTAATGTTCATTGAAGCTATGAAGGACTTATGATTCGCCAAAATCTCATCCTTGTCAAATGATATGTTTTTATATGTGGGATTAACTGAGTGCTCATTTATTCCCATAAATATTTATACGTCAAAAATGTAATGTGTAATGTCGCTTGCATATCTGTCCGTCTATCGACATACGACTTGACGTTATACCTAAATGTAACATACGAGTTTAGCTTATAAATAATAAATATAACAGGTGCCTTTCCTTTTAATTCAAAATATGTCTGATAAAAATTGATTAATAGACATTGTGTTGTTTTATATTTAATGTACACGTACATGTATGACTCAGGAAATACGACGCTTCTGTTTGTGGCTTTCTTTTGCGAAGGCATCACTATTGCACCACATCAAACACAATATAACAAATCATTTAACAATGTTAGGTTCCCCTATTTAAGGAATCTTTTTCTTAAATTTAATTATTTATTTTTGTATATGAAAATGTTTGTTTCTTTGTTGTCAAGGTTGTTATAGCAATTCTGGAGCAATGATTAATAATAGTGTCTATGACATTAAAAGGTTAACACCAACACTTTGTTCAGAGAAATGTAAATTGATACCATATTTTGCATTGAAAGTAAGTACCGTGTTTCCTCCTATTTTAGTTAATGTTATTGCTATCTACTCAAAAATGAAATTGGAAATTATATTTAAACTAATGTGGCAATTATGTTAGGCTTCCTCAACCCCGTTTTGTATGTTGTTGTGTCGTAGGTAGCTTTCAATATATAATGTATATAGTATTGTAGAAATAAGGCTTTTGATATTGTTTTGAATTTTAACCATGTAAACAATTTGTCTTTTTCTTTTGAGTGTATTTTTCTCCTTTACATTACGCATAGATGTTATCAGTCCAAAGATTTTCTTTCATAAATTCAGGCATATTTTCATTATACAATTGTGATACATGACCTACAATCCTTGGATGGTGTAATCTTCCCACTAACACCATGCATTATTACACCATTCACCATACACCATTACACCATACACCCTGTGCCATTACACCATACACGTTACAACTTTGCACCTTACACCTTACACATTACACCATAATGCAATTAAATTTCAAAGAAAGCGTGCGACTACAAAATTATTTATTTATTTTAAAAAACGAATTTTGATCACAATATTGTAAATTAATGTATAAAATTAAAAATCAGTTCTTATCAATATTTTGCATAGTTTTAAATGTCGTACACCATTCATTCACATCATTCCCGATCGCACGTTACACCATTACACCATTCCCCTTACACCATATTCCATAGCATCATACACCTTCTACCATTGCACCATATGCCATACACCATTACACGTTTTTTTTGGGGGAAGTTTACACCATCCAAGGGCTGTACTGCAATATTCACCTTTTTCTTCAGATACCACCAATGATCTTAACATACGTTATATATAAACCTAACAAATACACAGTTGCATTATTTAGGTTATTTATGTGATTGACCGTATCCTGCACTTAGGGTACTTAATTGTACTTGTATTGCAGTACAACTGGTGTCTTTGCCTACATTCTCTTTACAATTTGAATGATGCTGATTCATCAAAGTGCACGTACAAATGTCCAGGTTCAAACAATTATGTATGTGGAGAAAGATCTCATTTTACAGTATACAAGCACATTACCGGTACGTGAAATATTTTTTATTCTTGCCTGCTACTTTTGTATACACACAGCTTTTCTTTTCTTTCCACTAATGATCAGAAACACTTACCCTTATATATATGTGTGTTATTTTTCTCTAAATTATTCTCGTCTCGAGTTTTAAACGGTTGTCAATATGGAAAGCTACACACAATACTAGTTCTGCTACAATTGTATCTAACCAATTTTCCTTAAAGACAAAGTTCATCAAACCATAACAAAACACAATCACCGACGAGGTTCCTGGCTTGGGACAGGCATATTAATATTTTACAGTGTTTAATAACTGTAAATTCAGAAATTTCGCGAATTTTGAAGAATGGACAAAATTATATGATTGATTATTGCGATTTCATGAAAATCTGCAAACAGATATGTATGTGTCATCATCAGAATGCGAGTTTTTAATGCGAAGCCCATCCAGTCGCAATATTCGCATCAATCAAAACCTCGCAATTATTTCGGAATTTACAGCAGACTTATTGGTGTAAAATATCAACCTTATTATGTCGTCCAATCATCTTGGGTAAACAAAAGAAACATTGTATAACGTAAAATAAAAATAAAAAGAATAAGCTCTCACACGCCATTTGTGAGGTCAACTAGAAAACAATAACACACGTACAACCAAGACAATTAACACAATATTATTGAGAAAAATTATATACCTTATAAATCAGAAGTTTATTATAGTATAATTATACGTAAGAAAATGAAATTTGTCTTTCTTTCCATTTGAAAACGGGATGTAATGTATAGTTTACGTATACCATTTAGATATCAAAAATTCTCTTTTATACTGTATAAAAGAATGCAGATCACAGAAGTAAGCTCAAAATACCTCATGTGTTGATATGAAAGCATGCTGCTGCACACTTCAATATCGTTGACTCTCCATTAAGCAAATTAAAATATTAAACTAAAGCATTATAATATAAGATTAAGTTTTCACTTCTGGTGGTGTTACATTTGTGATCATCAATGCTTGATCTTTTTTTTTTTTGAAATATAAAAGTCATTTAAAGGCCAATTAATTTAAACAAAAAGGTCATGATTAGTATCAATTTCTATCATTGATGCTATCAACATCAGCAACGTTCTTCATCTGTTAAGGCCAGAAATCACCTTTAAATTGTAGCCAACAAAACGAAAAATCAATAATAAATTTAACAAGATTTTTAATAATACAATTTTACAAGAAATATACAAATAGAAACATCAACTTAATATTTAAAATATATGTCCGATCCTTTCTCTTTTCTTTATCAAGCATTCTTCTTTTAACTTTAACGAAATATGTTCAATAAGTTCACAATCTAGTATGATGTAGTTAACGTACATAAAATTGTCAGTCAAACAACTCCAGAGAACTTCTGTGAATACAAGTATATTAATGTCTGTCTGAAAGTCTAACTTTAGTGTCTGTGTAGTTGTCATGGAAACTTCTAGAACACTGTAGAAGGGAAACTCCTAGAATATTGTAGAAGTTTAAATTACACATCGTTGATTATGATCATTCCGGAATTATTATGCAAGTCAAAGAGAAAGTTCTAATCATTACATCTGAGTATGTATGATTGTTCCAGTGATTTCTTAACTGCACAGTTATAACATTATTTTGTAAACAACTAAAAGGCCACAAAAAAAAAGTAGGCCAAGATAAATAAACATATAATTACAATATCATAACACCTCCCCCCTTAAAAAAAGTTTGAGTGTAATGAGAACTTTTCATAAACAATATCTACAAAAATATATAGTATGTATACAGTGTTTAAATAAGATCTAGATAAGCATCTGCTATTATTTTATCTTTACAATAACATCATATTCCTGTAACAATTAACTCTACCTAGTCAACCTCTGGTTCTTGGTTCTCAATTTTTATATGAAAGTGGGAGGATTATGATCAGTAGTGGGATTTAAATATACAGCAAAATGTTGAAGTGCAGACAACAGTGCAAAACACTCTTTTTTTCAAAAGTTGACTAATTTATCTGATGTTTATCTAATTTCTTAGAAAAATATGAAATATGTTTCTTAACATTATCATCTGTCTCTTGCTATAAAACAGCTCCGACTCCAACATCACAAACGACAGGTTTGAATTGTTTTTTTAAAGTCTGGAGTGATCAGAACTGGACTGTTAATTAAAAGTGATTTGCTATTTTCAAAAGCGTTTTGACAATACCACTCCAGATGAATTTAGAATCTTTCCGTAAAAGATGAGCCAATGGTTGAACAACAGTAGCAATATTTGAACAAAATTTCCTGTAAAATCCAATCATGCCTAAATATCTCATAAAGTTGTTTTTTATTTGTAGGAGGAGGAAAATTGGTAGTTGCATCCACTTTAGCCATACTAGGTTTCACTTGACCTTTGCCATGTTGGCCACCTGTATTCCCTAAATAATCAACAGTGGCCTGATTAAATTCACTTTTACCAAGATTTACAGTCAAATCTGATTATGACAATCTATCAAAAGTATCATATAGGTGTGTTAAATGCTCTTCCCAGCTATCACTACATACAATAAGACCATCAAATATAAGTATAACAACAGTCAAAATCTTTTATAAGATTATTGATCATTCTTTGAAATGTAGCTGGAGCACTGTTCATACCAAACGGCATAATAGTATACTGAAATAAGCCGTCTGGTGTGATAAAAGCTGATATTTTACGAGCTCTCGGTGTCAAGGGCACCTGCCAGTAACCTTCCAATAAATTAGATTTGCTCACAAATATTGCTTGCACAATATTTTTTAATGCAATCGTCTATCCTTGGAATCGGATAGGAATGAGATTTTGAAATTGTATCTTTTTTCTGAAATCAGTAACGAAACGAAAGGTTTTATCTGGTTTGGGCACAAGGAGACAAGGAGAGCTCCATTTCTGATTTGTTCAATCTAACTGTCTCTTCCATAGTCTTTGAATCAAAAGGTGGTTCAATTATATCTGGTTTGTCATGATCGTTCTCCAATTTAACCATGGCTAAAGTGGCAACTGGTTTACTGTCACCTTCATTAGTACGCTCAAAATATGGTTTTAACATACTAATATGACATACTCTATTTTGTTTGCGCCGACCTGGAGTTGTACAATATAATTCAAATAATTGATTGTACTCTCTATTGTATAACGACCACAGTATTTAGCCTGTAATGGATGTCCAGGGACTGACCAAAATACAATTACCTTATCACCAAGCTCAAAAACTCTGTCCCTGGCATCTTTATCATACCATATTTTCATCTTATTCTGAAAATGTTTTGAATATTTCTGAGCAATTTGACACGCAGTATACAATTTTTCTTTAAATATAGATACATAGTCTAGACGATTCAAGTCAGTGTGTTCAGTAAGCCATTTTACCTTAACCAATTTTAAAAGTCCCCTTACAGTATGACCAAACACCAACTCAAAAGGGCTTAAACCAAGGGATACTTGAACAGCCTCTCGGACCGGAAAAAGTAGAAAGTGGACACCATCAAACCAGTCCCTGTCAAATTGGAGACAAGAAGTTTTAATCATGTTCTTCAATGTTTGATGAAAATGTTCAAAAGCACATTGCAATTCTGGATGATAAGCACTTGACCTATACTGAAATCCCTAACTGGTAAACGACCTGCTGAAAATAAACCTGACATGAAATTTGAACCCTGGTCGGACTGTATAGACTTAGGAAGTCCTACTAACTTGAACAATTATATAAGAGCTTTGACAATAGCAGGTGTCTTAATATTCGTTAATGGAATAGCCTCAGGAAAGCGAGTGGATGTACATATGATTGTCAATAAATACGCAATGCTAGTCTTGGTCTTCGGTAAAGGTCCAACGCAATCAATAAGTACTCGGCTGAAAGGTTTTTCAAAGGCTGGAATTGGCAGAAGTGGTACTGGTGGTATGTTACGCTTACCAACAACCTGGAATATATCGCATGATTTGCAATATTTTGTGACATTTTTTTTTAAGTCTAGGCCAGTAGAAATGTTGCAATATCTTAAGGCAAGTCTTCCATATACCTAAATGTCCGGCTAAGAAGTGTCATGGGCAAGACCAACAATTGTTTGCCTATAAACTTCGGGCACCACCACTTGGTATACCACTCTCCATTCCTCCTCTGGGATAGCATCAGGGGCTTCCATTTCCGTATTAAAATGCCGTCTTGATGGTAGTAGCATTCGGCCACTTTGTCTGCTTCCTCCTGTGGTTGAGCCTCTTGCGAAGCTGAAGAACCTCAGGGTCTTTATTTTGCTCTTCCACACATATTCTTTTGTCTAATGAATGGCTGTTTACGTCTGACCATGGCATAATTACATGCTTGTTAGTACAAGGTGGTCTTACTTTGGCCTTTTCCGAGCTACCGGAATCTTCAATGTTGACAAGGAAAGTGTCAGAAAGGTCCATATTATCATCCTGGTCTTCTTGTAAATCCTCATTTTGTTGTTGTCTTGCCATTGCCCTTATAACAACACAAGCTGGATACAGTTCAGTATCATCTTCAAGTGATTTATCATCCACCACCGTGTCACTGGTAACAGTTGGTTCAGCAACCACTTTGTTCCTAGCTAGATCAATTCCTAGCAATAATGAAACACCCTCAACAGGGAGATTAGAACGAACATCCCCAACAACTGGTCCAGTAACTAAATCTGACTTCAATTTGGATTGAGGAAAACATTAATACAACCTAACTCCACACCTTGTAACAAAAGGGAGGCACCAACAGAAGTCTCCTTGGACAAAGGCAACACACCTTTTAACAATAAAGTCTGAGAAGCTCCAAAATAGCCCGTCCCTTGTCGCCTTCAAAAATAATTTAAAAGTAACCGTGAAATTAAGCCGGTATTTTATTATTGTGGTTCCAGATCCGGTCAAATATATCATGCGAGAATAAGAATGAACTGTAGTGGACTCAACAAACACCTCTATGACAGAAACTTGATTCAATCCCCGAAGTGTGTTTGTAGAGACCCTGA